CCTCCAGGGCATCGGAACACAAGGTACCAATCAGTCGTCTTAAAACCCTCGTTAGCAAACCTGGGGAACGAAGAGGGGCCCCGGATTCCGTTTTCTCTCATAGGGTCTTGTAAGGGCCCTGGGGCAACTCCAGCAAAGTAGATCCTGAGGTATGTCCCGGGGGATCACCGAAAGACAGGGCGGGTTTGCAACGCCAAAAGATAAAAAAGAAGGAGGCGGGATCTGTGGGGAGCAATCCGGACTAGACTAAGTTACTCGAATTAGGACTTATTCTATGCATCTGCTCTCCCACAATATGGCGCTGGGAGAGAAGTAAACAGCTTCCGCACAGCTGCCTCCAGTTCAACCAATTAACTGTAGGACTTGCTCCTGATTGGAGAGCAGCGTACTCAGCCGAGTTGGGATTGGCGGAGGAGGACTATAAAGGAGGAGAGAGACGGCATGCACCAGAAACATCTATGGGGAACATCTAAGGGAACCCGTGCAGCCCCCGAGAGAACCGGCCGGCGGTGTGCCGCTCCCCTGCGGAAGTGGGGAATGCGGCCAGGGGGAACTGCCCTTCCACGGAGGTGGAAGGGATAGTAGCCAACCCGGGAAGAACCAGCAGCAAACCCGGGGAGGGCCGAGCAGACGAAAGAACAGCGCAGGGTCCTGTGTTGCTCCTCCACGAAGAGGGGGAGCGACAACATATATTTATATTTGTTTTGAATGTTTGACAGGAGTAGCTACTACTTAAAAATTTCCATAATGACTCCTGGTGTTCAACTGTGGTTAGTGGGCAGTACCTGAGTCAAGATGCTGCAGTATTTTCTGGCTCTTTATAGACTGTCCAGAGCACTGTCCAGACTACATGTATGCTTCAGACACATATTTTGAAATTAAAGTTCCAGAGAAACAAAACGCTGTTTCAGGAGAGTAATGGAATTCCAATTCATCTGAAGGGTAGGAAAGCCAATGGCCTCCTGTACAGAGTTCCCATGGTTCTGACAGTTGTGAACATCAAATGCCATTCATCAGCTGGCTATGTCTTCATTTCCCAAGAAGGATTTACTTCAGTCATCCTGGTAATCACTTGGTTCAATTTCATTCAGCTCTCTATGGACCAATAATCTGATAACTGAGCTCTTCTTCAGAGATCAATATTTATTGATTTGTACTAACTGCCATCAATAAAGTTGCTTTAACCATGAAAAAATTGTCTCCCATGATCAAATTTTGTCAGCTTCTGCTTGTTTGTTCATAAGGGATATTTCATTCCTCAAGGTCTAAAATTTAACATTATCACTAATGCTATTGTTCTATGTTCTTATTTTTCTAGGGACCTAATGGGAATGTTAGAGAACTGATTGAAAACTTAATATGTGCTATTGTTTCAAGGCATGGAATATTAGAGAATTAATTTATTTAACTAATAAATATTTATTGAATATCTACTATATATCAGATATTTTTCTTTGTAAAAAAACTTAGTTATTTGAACATCAGGGTTACAGACACACACACACACACACACACACACACACACACATACAATCTTGATGTCCACAATGGCCAGGCCTGGGCCTGGCTGAGGCCAGGAGACAGGAGATTCATCTGGGTCTCCCATGTGGGTGGCAGGGGCACAAACACTTGAGCCATCTTCTGCTGCTTTTCTCAGGCCATTAGCAGGGAGCTGGATCAGAAATGGAGCAGCCAGGACACCAATGGGTGTCCATATGGGATGCCAGCAGCCTTTTGCACTATGCCACACTGCCGGTCCCCAGACATTGTTTCAAGGAATGGACATGGGGCAATCAACAAACAGACAAAAGTCTCTGCCCTCAAAAACTTATAATCTAGTAGTTGGACAGAAAATTAATAGCAAAAAATATAATTCATAAGACAATGCTAAGTACCATACAGAAAAATAAAACAGAAGAGAGAAAGGGACAATAGCTGTTATTTATTTTTATTTGAAAAGCAGAGCAATAGAGTGAGTTAGAGAGATCTTCCATCCCTGGGTTCACACCTTGAATGCCAGAAACAGCCAGGGCCAGGCCAGGCTAAAGCCAGAAACCAGGAATTTCATCTAGGTCTCCCAGGTGGGTGGCAGGGACTCAAGTACTTAAGCCATCATCTGCAGTCTCCTATGTTACACATTAGCAAGAAGCTGGGTTAGAAGTAGAGGTGGGACTCCATCACAGACACAGAAATGGCATGTGGGCATTCCAGCGGCAGCTTACACCCACTCCTGAAATACAGTGATTGGAAAATATCTACACAAAAACATAATATCTGAGTAAAGACATGGAAGAGATAATAGACCATACCATAAGGGCATAGAATGCTTTCTAGATAATAGGAACAGCAAGTACAAGGGTCCTGAGTTAGGGCCATGTCTGAAGTGGTCCAGAACAAAAAGAAGGTTGTTGTCCAAGAAAGCAATGTGGAAGATTAGGAAGACAGGGACACTCAAGAAAAGTAACAACTGGGGCCGGTGCTGTGGCGTAGTGGGCTAAGCCTCCGCCTGTGCCACCGGCATGCCATACGGGCGCCAGTTCTAGACCCAGCTGCTCCACTTCCAATCCAGCTCTCTGCTGTGGCCTGGGAAAGCAGTGGGAGTTGGCCCAAGTCCAAGTTGGCCCTGCATCCATGTAAGAGACCTGGAGGAAGCTCCAGGATCCTGGCTTCGGATCAGCGCAGCTCCGGCTGTTGTAGCCAACTGGGGAGTGAACCAGCGGATGGAAGACCCCTCTCTCTCTCTCTCTCTGCCTCTCTCTTTTAAAATATTTATTTGAAAGTCAAGGCCAGTGCTGCGGCTCAGTAGGCTAATCCTCCGCCTTGTGGAGCCAGCACACTGGGTTCTAGTCCCTGTCGGGGCACCGGATTCTGTCCCAGTTGCCCCTCTTCCAGGCCAGCTCTCTGCTATGGCCAGGGAGTGCAGTGGAGGATGGCCCAAGTGCTTGGGCCCTGCACTCCATGGGAGACCAGGATAAGTACCTGGCTCCTGCCATCGGATCAGCGCGGTGCGCCGGCCGCAGTGCGCCAGCCATGGCGGCCATTGGAGGGTGAACCAATGGCAAAGGAAGACCTTTCTCTCTGTCTCTCTCTCTCACTGTCCACTCTGCCTGTCAAAAAAAAAAAAAAAAAAAAAGGAAAAAAAAAAAAGAAAAAAGAAAAAAAAGAAAGTCAGAGTTATACAGAGAGAGGCAGAGAGAGATCTTCATTCCCATATGGGATGTCAATGCTGCAGGCGGCAGCTCTATCTGCCACAGTGCCGGCCCCATAAATATATCTTTAAAAAAAAAGACTATTCTATGAAAAAAAAAAAAGGTAACAACTGACAGTCAAATCATGTAATGTTGTGTGTGCTTCCTGTGAATATGAAAATACACACATACATCCATATAAACTACATAGTACACACATAAATGTATATATATGTTGCTTATATTTCCAAACAATTAAAAGAAAAAGGCATTGTGGGTATGATGCTTTATTATTCACAGCTCTTCAACAGGATTTTAATTTCAGATAATTTCTCTCCTAATTCTCTATGTGCATAACCATAGTAATCCACAGTTTTTATACTGTTTTCTATGTGTCAGTCTTATGGCCAAGTGACATCTGTACTTAAAGAACTTTTTTTAACTTAAATGTTCATAGCATTATTTATTGAAAGCATTAAGTTTTGGAAATAATCTATTCTATGAACAAGATATTTTTTTAACTTGTAATTTTTTTAATTTACAGAAAGCATTTTTTCTGACAATGAAAGAGTACTTTTCACACAGTTACATGACTAAAAATACTTGCCTTATAAATCCAGCTGAAATGAATTTGTTAACAACTTGTATTGAAATGGTATTTAACTTATAGTTCCATGATCCTTCAGGGACATAAAAAACATGAAGTTCCACCAGCTGAATAAATTGAGAAGAACATCAGTTAAAATTTAAAGCATTAAAAAATCAATTGAGGTACTACAGAATTTTAAGTTTAAAAATCACAATGGAAATATACATGGAATATGTGCATCCATCAAGAAAAAAGAAAAAGAAATAGATACCCCTACCCCTTCCCCATCTGCTCAGTTGCGTTGGGGTGACTTGTGTGATCCTTACCCTTTGCATATGTCTCCCTACTAGGGCTGTGATGACTGCTAGCTCTCAGCACCTGCAAAAGGGTTAATACTGTGGTTTGGGGGAACATATTTGCTCCCCAGAATCCCAGGAACCCCTATTTCTGACCAGTAATGGGGAAAGAAATGTTTGTTCTTACATAGGATATGTCTGTATCAACTTTTCTGTCAATGTTTTATTCTGAACTTAATTAGAATTCTTCTATATCTTTTGAATATGAACTATTATTAATACCAATAATCTATATAAGAGATAAATATGGTTCTTGAACAGAAGGCTTTATTCAAATTGTTTTTGTAAAAGTAAATTATTCCTATACTTTTGAGAATGAATTACTAATCAACAATTTAAAATGTTTGTACAGACAAGATAATGACATTGATCATATGGTCATTTTGTACTCCAGAGCATTTAGATGCATATTCCCTAGCTATGCTATTAAGATTATGCAAAATCACAAGAAGTTTGAAATAAATATGATCTTATCTTTATTGAAATGTATGAATATTTTACAGCATGAAATATTTCTTGAACTAAACATTCATACATGTTTCTAAAAGTGCATTTTATCAGCCCTTAAGGCATGCGGATCCGGCTGAAAAGCCCATGAGAGTATTTCAGGCATGGAAAGCCAAGACACTCTGGCAAAAAGATCTCTGTGAGTGAGATCCCAGTGGAAAGAACAGGTCTTCAAAGAGGGAGGTGCCTTTCTCTGAAGGGAGGAGAGAACCTCCACTTTGACTATGACCGTGTCTAAACAAGATAAGAGTCGGAGAACTCAAGGGGCTTCCATAGCCTTGGAAACTCATAACTGGTGCATAGGGAGATTACTGATGCCATAAACAGGAGTGTCAATTGGTAAAGTCAACAACAGGAGTCACTGTGCACTTACTCCTCATGTAGGATCTCGGTCCTTAACGTGCTGTACACTGAGGCTTAATGCTATAACGAGTACTCAAACAGTATATTTCACTTTGTGTTTCTATGGGGGTGCAAACGACTGAAATCTTTACTTAATGTACACTAAACTGATCTTCTG